CCAATTATGTTGGTCCAAACCAATACAACCACCCTTCCAACCTATACCATCCTGGGTTAAGAAACCACCCAAACTTCTCCTACAAGAACCAAACAAATGCAATGAACCCGCAATCGACATTTCAACGGAGCAACCAAGGACCCCGGGTTTTCAATCTAAGTTCCAGCAACAAGTCCAAGGAAACCAAGGTTATCAAGGAACATCGAACTATAGACTCTATAGCTGCTACTTGCTTACTGTTTGCAAGTTGTATCCGTATCTCAGCAAGTTCAGATAACACTGCCTTGAGTGCTGCTCCTTCTCCCGCATCTCCCTTTGTTGAGCCCCTCCTACTGAACTCATTTGATGTATGGCCTCGTCCTTTGGCCAACTTTGCAATTGTTGCTTCTAGCTCTTGAAAAGGGATGTCATAGATGTCACCCCCACATGCCATCGATCCATGATCGAGTGTCATCCTTTAATCCATGAATGAAGATAGATAGGAGGTAATCTCGTTCCATTCCATGGTGAGGGCACATCCTTTGGTATTCTTTAAATCGTTCTCATGCATCATGAAGATTCTCCCCATCCTCTTGTATAAAAGCATTGATCTGATTCCTTGCGTGTTGAGTTTTGGTGGGTGAATAGTATTGCATAAGGAACTGCTCCTCCATCTCATCCCAAGATGAAATGGAGTTTGGCTCAAGAGTGTAGAGCCAATCTCTTGCTCTCTCCATGAGTGAGTATGGGAAAGCCTCAAGGAGCACATCTTCCGTGGTGATTCCCGGCCCTTTCTTTATCGCCTTACAATTCATCTTGAAATTGGTAAGGTGAGCATTTGGATCCTCATTGGGCCTACCCCGGAAACTCATGTTGTTGAGCATTTGGATGCATTGTGGTTGGAGTTCAAAGTCCTCCAACGGCTCCTTGTTAATGCAAGAGAGTAGTTGAGTGTGCTTCGGTTGTGTGTACGTTCGAAGCGTTCTAGGGGCTGCTTGGGCTGGTTGTTCCCTTCGAGCATTGTTCTCTCTCAACAAATCTTCGGCCATTTTCCACTGTCTTTGTTGCTTCCGAGTAAAACGTACAGTCCTCTCAATTTCTGAATCAAATAGAAGTTGATCCTTGTCGGTTGTGCTTCTTGTCATACACCGAGAGATCTGCACGTAGAGAAGAGTGAAAAGAAAACTAGCCAAAGGTGAGAAAAGATCGTATCACTAAGAGATCCCAAGTAGAAATCCAAGCAATGATGACCTAGCAAAAACTTAGACTAACACGAAAAACGCCTAGTCCCCGGCAACGGCGCCAAAAACTTGATGCGCACGCACCGAGTTCTAAATTTGTAACCCGATTCGTACCAATATCCGCAAGTATACGGTAGTTGTAGTACCGGGGTCGATCACGAGGACTAGGTTGTGTTAATCCATTCTTAAACTAGATCAAAGGTGATGGAAAATATTGATTGCAAGGTGTTTGTGAAAATGTAAATATGAAATGAGGGTCAAATGAGCAAACGAAACTTGTGTGATGAAAACGATTGGACACGAATGTTGTGGGTTCATGGTCCCTTTCACGGGTATGGATGTTCAAAATGTGATGGCACTCATGATCATCATTTCTAATTGGGGATTTCAAGGCTCTTTGTATAAGATCTTTCTCTCTCAAGCTTAGATCGACTACCTAGAAAATCAACTACCCATCTCTCAATGATCTAGAAGACTCCTAGGTGCATTAACAACCCCTATCATAAACCCTAAACAAGTCAAACCATCTCTCAATGTGAATGCTTTGTTCATTTGATGTCTAGGTCAAAACACCATTCTCATATGTCTATGATCAATGTTGTTCTAAGATCATTCAATCAAGGTTTTGCCAAGATCAAAAGCATGAAGGATAAGACATCAAACCAATAGAAACAACTAAAAGAGTACCATAGATTGAAAACCCAACATCCATACACAAAAGGGGGACCCCTCCCCCACAACTAAGGTTCTACTCCATATTCAAAGGAAGAAAACAAGAAGAAACAAAAGAGAACATGATAGAGAAGAGAAAGGAATGCTTAGATTGGTCTTCAATGGTGATGATCACTTCTCTTCTTCTCCAAGTCTCCCAAGCTCCAAGTTTTCCCCCAAGTGTTTTTCTCCCCTTTTCAAATGGCCAAAAGATCCCTTTTTTCATTTCCTCTTTCCTCTTTTGTTCAGCAAACCCTAGGGCTTTCTTCTTTCTCACTAATGGGCTTGGAAATGACCCAAAACAACAAATGAATTTCGTCAGACAGAAATGGGCGGTCTCTTTGTGTTTCAGGGCGGGAGCCCGAATATGCTTCACATTTTCGGGCGGTCGGCATAACTTATGGGCGGCCCTCCTGAATTTTCTGTTAAATCTCGAGGCTTCTATCACTTTAGGGCGGCCAGATCTCTTTCTAGGGCGGTAGCCTGTTTTTGCTCTTGTTCCACATTCCGCGTTTTCGTCCGATTTTTCCGTTGTTTTCTCCCGGAGACTTCACTGCACCACCTGATCCTGAAATGTACAAAACAAGGACCTACTCTACCCCTAGACGACTCATATTGCATTGAGAGATGAATATTTGCCTAGTTTGCATCTTTTGAAAGATCCTTGCACGTAAAGCAATCCCGAAGCCTGCAGTGTTTTGTCGTTGATAGTTTATTGTTTGTTTTTATTATTTGCTTTTGATTCATTCTCATCATTATCATATTTTCTCTAGATCTAGATTTGGATTGGAATCTGATTCAGTTGTTTACTTGTCCCTGTGTTCGACCCTAGTTGCTACACACGATCCGTACACTTGCGGAATTTGTTGAGTCGGAATTTATCAATTGATCGAAATTTATTCACCTAGATTTGCGACATCATCATCCCGCCCACGCAAATGCATGTCTCATTGGCTTTGGTGGTTGCCAATGTGTGGAGGTGCATGGCTATCCGCGAAGCTAAGTCCATGTCCGTCCATGGAGCCCGGACACACAAGTCAAGAGACGGTCCGTTGTGGAATTCCCGCAATGCCTGGTAGAGATAACCCAGCTCGATCTTGTGGATCTTGCCGGGTTCATCTCGTGCGAATACGAAGTTGGACATGATGGAATGAGCGTAGCGGATAGCCGGGTGTTGAATCCATGAGATCTTCCCCGCCGAGCTCGTGTAGTGATGGACAGCTATCTTCTTCCAGAAGTCTTGGAGGGCATATGCTGAGATGGTTGCAATGAGGGAGTGCTTCCCTTTCGAGACTTCCAATATGTCGGCAAACTGTGCCATACTCAGCCTAACCCATTTCTTGTTCAGCCGAAACTCCATATAAGCTTCATCGATTGAGCCGTCGGATTGGAAGTAGCATGAATATGTGGCTAAGAACTCGCAGGTCACACTCTTGAATGACGGTTCGATGCTTCTGCTCAATGTTGCCCAGTCGAGCTTCTCGAAGATGTATTCGACGTTTGCTTGAATTACCAATCGTCGAACCGTGTGCTCACACATGAATTTACTTGGGCGTTGCTTGAGCTTTGACAGATGTTTTGCTCGCGCGTATGCTTCATCGTGTCTGTCAATTTTGACCAGCTTTGGTGGTCCTTCGATGAGGAGGTTTTGCTTCGTCTCCAATATTGTTGTGATTTTTCTCGGTCTCATCTCTCTCCTTGGAGAGAATTCGGCCACTCGTGATGATGAGGCGACGTCGCTTGTTCGGGCTCTTCTCGGTGCCATCTGCAAAGGTGAGGCGACGTCGCTTGTTCGGGCTCTTTTCG